CCTGACTGGTCACACCCAGAGTATCTGTAGTTCCTGTGTCTCAGGGGCCTCAAATCCCAAAGCTCCTCAGCAGGGAAATGTTGATACTGTGATTTGGATCCTAAGCAAATGCAATTCCTTCAAGACCAATAATCCAGAAAGGAAATTCAGGATGGCTAATCCCTTGCTTTGCCAAGCCAAGGGACTCCTCCACCTCTTGTCCCCTGTCTGTTGACTTCCACTTCATGTCCCATGCATGTCCCACCCTTCTCTAACTCAATTTCAGAGATCAGTTTTGGACAAAATCAATGCCATATCTGAAGCCTGATGCTACCTTGGGGTGTAGCAGCCTAATATTACATGTGGGTACACAAATATATTACATATATAGCTCAGATTGTAAAAAGGCCAACACTCAGAGGAATTTCTTCCTCAAAGCTACTGAATGTTTTCTGAGAATGAATCTCCATTCTGTGTATTTGGTGCAGCAGATTCTAATCTACTCTCTGTAGTCAGTTCTGACCGTGACTAAGAGAGATATGTGTGTAATCTCTGTTTAGTTTCATAACCACCTTTTCAAATTTCAACACAATAGTTTTGGAAAAACTTTTCTTCATATCAGGTGATCATGGGTGTACCTTAGGACTTGATTTTTAATGTAGTTATGAGACTTTATGACAACAATGACCAAGCAGTTGTCTGCTGGCTGTTTATCCATCCTCCCAGATCAMACAATGAGATTTCAATCATAATTAACACGAGAAGACAGTACTGTGTGCTAATACTTAAAAATTTTATATTAAATGAATTCAATATTATCTTGCATTTATAGATATCTTTTGCAGCATGATAAATCTTTCTATAAGAACTTTTAAAATTTCATATATAAAATATCATATATATATAAATATATATATATGACACAATCAATGGCATATATGAAGCCTGATGCTGTCTTGAGGTGTAGCAACCTAATCTTACACATGGGTACACAAATATATTTGCACATGATATAGCTAAGATTATAAAAATGCCATATATATATATATATATATATATATCACACCAATTGTGTCAAAATAGCATTATTACTGAATTTGAACTTTGAAAATGAAACCTGTGTTTCAACATGATCACTAGAATTCTCTAAAAATGAGAGAGAGAGAGAGAGAGAGAGAGAGAGAGGATGTGTTTTAGAATTATTATGTGAAGCCCCAGTTTTACTATTTCAAAATTTCAACAGATGAAATTTTTTAAACAATATACCATATTCAAAAAGCAAAACAATGACAACAACAAAAAYAAAACACCTTTTTTCTCAACCCTCAGGGTTTTCTCCTTATTCTTTTCTAATAAGTTTGTTTCAAATCAGATTYATGCAGGTATAATTTACATACAGTGAAATAGACCTTTTTAGATGTATAGTTGCATGAATTTTCCATCAGTATTGTTGAGATAGAGAATATGTCTCTCACCCTATTGCCCAAACTCAGACACTGGCAACATTTTATCTGTCCTTTTCCAGAATGTCACCTAAATACAATTATATACTATATATCTTTTTAAGTCTAGCTTATTTCTTTTAAATAATGCATTTGAGATTTGTCTATGTTATTGCAGGAATTGATAGTTTGTTGCTTTTTATGGTTTTGATTTTTAAGTGGCATTTCCCTTATACAGTAGCACCATAGATTTTTATTTATCAGTTGAAGGACACTGCATTATTCYTTTTGTGGTGATGGTGATTACAGCTACTGTTACTTTTGTATTTTGATCTTTAAATGGACATTTGCTTTCATTTTCTTAGGCAAATACTTCAGAGCAGTATTGTTTGGTTTTATGATAGTTGTATGCATCATTTTGTAAAGAACTACTTGTTTACAAAAGTAATGATACATGTTTTCATTCTCATCTGAAATGTATCATAATTCCTGATGTCTTATATCCTTGCCAGAAGCTGATATTGACATCAATTTTTTATAGGTATATAGTACTGTCTCATTGTGATTTCAGTATTTATTTCCATATTGGTAATAATGTTTAGCATCTTTACATATGCTCATTCGTCACCCATAAAGCTTCTTTTGTGAAATGTCAGTCCAAACCACTTACCTATTTTAGTTTTTGCCTTGTTATAATTAGAGACTCATTTGTGTATTTGAACATGAATCCTTTGTAAAATATGTGTTTTACAAATATTGTATCTCGGATGGCTTCTTTTCATTTTCTTAAAAGTACCTTTTGCAGAGTAACCATGTTAACTTATTAAAGTTTAACATCAATTTTTTTAAAAAATGGCATTGTTATGTCAGACTACACCATCTTTCCCCCATTTACCCCAAATGCATGAAAGGACCATTGTAAAGAGAGATAGTTTATTTCTTAAAGCAAGACAAAATCTCCTGTGTGCCACAAAATTCACTATGACATAAAGGGTGCTTGGGTTGAAGCCAAGGGGCTCAACAGATTTATGTCCAGAAGGAAGAAGTTACCATGTCTAGACAATAAAGTCTAAATGCACAAGAAGAGCTTAGGTGCTTAAAGGCAAAGGCAAAGTGTTGCTTCAAGGTTAGGGAAGTGTGAACAGAGGTGTTCGACACAGCCTGAACTCACGTATGTGGACTTAGAAGAGCTGAAGATTTCAGAAAAGCCACTCAGAAGCAACAGACTTCTGGCTGGATTGATGGTATTCATGGTATTATTAATATCACAAACAGAATTCAATAAAATTAATTCAGGAGTGTCAACTGAATAACGAATATATCTGGGAAATATAACTGGGAATATAACTGGGAATCTGAATTAAATCTAAGCATTTGTAGGCATCTACTATACACATGCAAAGGAAACATGCACATGAAGAATAAGTTTGTAAGATACATGAATAAAAATGACTATAATTACAATTATAAAGGAAACATTAGCAATTAGTTTTAAGATGGATAAGAAGCTCAATGAAAAAAAGAATAAATACATATTTTTAATAAGCAAGAAACATGACCCATTCTATATAAAACAACTCTGAACTTCATCAAAAGAGAAATGGAAACTAATTGTAGTTTCATACACATTAGATTGTCAGGAAAAGTGACAAAGTTGTGGTGATGATGTGAAACACCCAAAATATCTACTGGTGAGGTAAAACAGTTCAACCACTTTGGACCTGCCTGATAGTGAATAGTTTAATACTATCATCAATTCTCCTATCATTAATAATTCCACACAATCAGTATATAACTGACTTTTTTTTCCTTCAGAAGACGGAGAAAGAGGTTGTGAGGGGAGTGGGAAAAAAACAAGGAGAGAAATGAATTACAGTAGATGGGGTAGAGAGAGAAGATGGGAGGAGAGGGGAGGGGGGATAGTAGAGGATAGGAAAGGTAGCAGAATACAACAGTTACTAATAGGGCATTATGTAAAAACGTGGATGTATAACTGATGTGATTCTGCAATTTGTATATGGGAGTTCATAACCCACTTGAATCTAATATATGAAATATGATATGTCAAGAGCTTTGTAATGTTTTGAACAACCAATAAAAAAAATAAAATAAAAAAGAAGACAGAGAAAGAATATTTAACTAGCTTGATTTACAATAGCAAAAAAAAAAAAAAAAATTCAAAACTTCTACAACCCAGGAGGTACTTCTTATTTTCAATGTCACAATAAAAGACTTAAGAAATGGTGCTTGAAAATGAATAAATATTTGCTAAACATAATTTGATTGATTCTGAAAAACAGGATGAGAGAAACTATAGACATGGAATTCATGTACTAAATTTGAAGTTTAGCAGGATCAAAGAGGAGTACATTTATGTAATACATTGTACTAGGAGATCTATCAGGGTGACAAAATGCAGTAGAGTCCTGTGAAAATGTTGGTGTATAGAGCAATAGTGACWAAATACTGGCCATCGAGTCCTGGCTGCATCGATGCTATCCCATGGTGACCACGCCTCCTCCTTTTCTCATGTCTTCTCCACTTGTCTTAGAAGAAAACACGGGATTACACTTAATGTGATCCAGGAGAAACTCCTTTTCAGCAAATACTCTTTCCTCAAACAAGTAATGTTCACCCAATTACCATATAAGTTATAGTTAATTTATTGGGAAARAATCTGAACATATTTGGGAAGCAGCATTCAGTTCACTGCAGAGATGCAGTATGGTTGGTCCATGGAAATGTTACCCATCCACTGATCCAAGGAAGAACAATCAGGTCCAGGTGCAACACCTGAATTTCCTGTTATCAGTTGTTGACCTGAAAGAGAATGAAGCCTAGGAAAAGACCACTTCATGGAGGAGTGATGAAAGTCATACATTCTTTGGGTACATTCCATACCTCAGAAGTTTCTGTAAGGAAGGATAATTCTCTTTACTATCAGAGCATACTCATCTTAGACTTCCTTTTTWAAAAAAATTAGGACTGAAGAAAACTTCATTGGTGGGTTTCAACCATTTCACAGTGATCTCAAACCACTGAGATCATCTAATTCTGTTGAGTTTGTAGAAGATGATAATCAACATTTCTATTTTTGCCTCTGAAGAGGTCTCAGAATTGTTTTGTCGGCTGGGAATAGCCACCGCTTTGCTTCACAGTAGGACTAAAATTAGGAGTTAATGCACACAACCCCAAGCACATGAYCACGTGGGGTCTCTTCTCTAGATATGACCACAGCTCTGCTTTAGCATTTACCTGGCCCTTCTCCTCAAACTTGCTTTTTTCTTAGAGGCAACAATATAATATATTCACTAAAACTAGAACCCCTTCTGCAGGTACTCTTTCTATGAGAGCTGACCAATTTCTTCTGTGAAACAAGTTATGTTCAGATAATTAAAATTCTGCATCTAACTTCACAAAATGAGACAGAGAGAAAAGCCAGGGCTCAAGTCAAGTTAAAATGTACCTGGTTATTAAGTTACCTTATCATGTTAAAAGAATGTAGTGGGAAAAGTCAGATATTCTGGAAATCAGGAACCTTGTCATTGTGACTTCTTTTACAAACCAACAAATGACRTGTCAGAGAAGAGAAACAGTCCTTYTGATGAGCTTCCTCAAGGCCTTCTTCATGTCCCTGTTCCTCAGGYTGTAGATAAAGGGGTTCAGCATCTGAGGGACCACAGAGTACATCACAGAAGCCACTGCAGTCTTCCTGGRTGAGTCAGTCACTGCAGARCTMATGTACAMCCCWRMWCCTGTCCCATAGWACAGGGAGACMACWSACAGRTGAGACCCACAGGTGGAAAAGGCTTTATGCTTTCCTTCTGATGAGGGCATTCTCAAGACAGAGGACACAATGTGAACGTAAGAGAAAATGATCCCAGAGAGAGGAAWRCCAMYAAATATRCAAGWTGGAGCATGTTTCCAGGTRTTATGAATGAGGGTGTCAGAACAGGCCAGCTTGATGACCTGAGCGAGTTCACAGAAGTGGGGSATCTCCAGGGCTGTGCAGCAGGGCGTCCACAGTGCTGATGGGTAGTGAGACCAGAAACAGCAGGACACACAGCCAGGGGTTCATGATGACTGTACCTAAGGGGAGGACAAATGGCCATGGAGCAGTCATAGGCCACCACTGCAGGGAGACAATTTTCCATGTCAATGAAAACTAAGACAAAGCAGACCTATGGTGAGGCTGCAAGTCACATTGGGAGCATGTGGTAAAGCAAACAGCAGGAGGCTAAAGAGGAAGAAGGTGTGGCATCMCTCTCTCCCCTTCAAGAGCACAGCMAAGTGACCCAACTTCTTCCAACTAGGTTCCACCTCTTAAAGTCATGACRCCAACAAAGCAGCAGAGTCTGGGGACCAAGCCTTTAATACATYGGCCATTGAGCACATTTCAGACCCAAATTATAGCAGCCGGGGACACTGAGGAGATGGATCCTAGGAAATGTCTACCTCGTGTAGAACTCAATGAAGCCCTGATCCCTGACACCATGCATTCCTTCTATCTCGACTCGTTGCAATGAACAGTAGTTCTCTTCATGGTCTGACCTTATTAGGGTGAGGGTCTCATTTTCTTATGACAACAGAATCTTATGACAACAGAAGGTCAACTCACAGATAAAGTCCAAAATCTCAAATATCTCAAAACTGTSTAATTTGTGTAAATAATGAAACTGAGTAGGGAGTCTGTTCACACTACATCAGAAGGACACAGTTTTCCAGGACAAACCTTACTTGTTATTTAATGGAGTATGAAATGTCAGTTCTTGGCCTCACTGTAGGTYTACATGTGGCATGACGCCCACCTGGCCCCCGACCATGAGCTCAGGTSGGGAAGCTAGTCTGCAGACGCTCACACAGCCTTCTGTAACCCACCCTTGACCCACCCACTGCTCCAGCACTCTTTCTTCTGAAACTGATCCTCAGTAATTACTAACATTGAACCACAGACTCGGACTCTGCTTCCATAATGTCACAGCAACAAAATGGAACCTTGAGATGGAAATCATTTGACAAAATCACATGTGAACAAAATCAGTCAGGTTTAAAGTACAAGTGGAATGAACTTACACATCACATTATCTAGTCGTGGTGGAAGAACGCAGTAACAGAAGCATCAGGCATTCTGGCTCACCAGTATTCCTGTCCCTTTAACACATTCTCTAATCCTAAGCCCAAAGTCACAGCAAAGGTATCCCAGTGAAGAGGTGACCCAGGGCTCCCTTCATTTCCCTGTTCCTCAAGCTGTAGATGAAGGGGTTCAGCATTTGAGGGACTACATTGTACATCAATGAAGCCACTGCATTCTTAGTGGAAGAGTCACTTACTGCAGAGCTGCAATAAACTCCAAAACCTGTCCCATAGAATAAGGACACAACCGAGAGGTGAGACCCGCAGGTGGAAAAAGCTTTAGATCTTCCACTACCTGATGGCATTCTCAAGATAGAGGAGACAATTTGAATATAAGAAAAAATAATCCCTGAGAGAGGGACACCAAAAAATATAATACCCACTGAATATTTCAGGAGGCTATTGACCAGAGTATCAGAGCAGGAGAGTCCAATGACCTGAACGAGTTCACAGAAGAAGTGGGGGATCTCCAGGTCTGTGCAGAAGGACAGCCGCAGCACCATGAGGGTGTGAAGGAGACCATGCAAAATGCTGATGAGCAGGGAGACCAGAACCAGCAGGACACAGAGGCAAGGGTTCATGATGACCATGTACCTCAGCGGGTAACAAATGGCCACATAGCGGTCATAGGCCATCACGGCAAGGACACAGTTTTCTAAACCACTGAAAATCAAGACAAAGCACAGTTGGGAGAGGCAACCTGTGTAGGAGATGCTCTGATGCTGTGTTTGGATGTTCACCAGCATCTTGGGGATGGAGGTTGTACCCATACAGATGTCAGTGAGGGACAGGTTGGAGAGGAAGAAGTACATGGGGGTGTGGAGGTGGTGGTCAGAGCTGACGGCCAGGATGATGAGCAGGTTCCCCAGGATGGTGACCAGGTACATGGACAGGAACAGGCTGAAGAGGAGGGGCTGCAGGGCTGGGTCATCTGTCAGTCCCAGGAGAAGGAATTCTGAAACAGCTGTGTGGTTTGTGGGTTCCATGTTGATTATGAATCTTACAGAAAAGATGAGTGAGAATAAAAGAAATATCTCCTGGAGAAGCAGAATGGTATCACCTGGTGAATGGTAGAACTGATAGAAATTCTAGAAAGGAACACTCTCRATGCCACTCTGGAGAGAATGTTTGAAAAGATCTGAGGATGAGGAGCARTGGTCTATGTTTTATCACACAGTATAGATGAATTTGATATTTCTAAGTTTTTTTTTTAATTTTTTTAAACACACAGATCCTTAAAAGTAAAGAAAAAAATGTGATTTACATTGTGAACCTTCATGCATATTCTGATCTTTCCTTTGGCCTCTTTCTGCTTCCATTTCTCTTCCATCTTCCCCTCTAATACCTGCATTCATAAGTAACCTTTTTCACACATGTGCCAAGTGCTTAGACTGTAAGAACCATAAGACGTTGTTGTTCCTTCAGAATTAGTCCATGCATTGAATCAAAAAGAAAGATGAGGACAAACATGGAATCTATCTTCTAGAGCCACAGTCCCTAACTTGGGCATGCCTCAGAATCATTCAAACACTCACCAAATTACAGATGAGTTAGTTCATGCTTCAGCCTCAGGGGCYGGTGAGGACATGTACAAAGTACATAGTATATTTGACAGGGAGAGGGACAGGGTCACGCTCCAGTTGTCTGCAAAAGTGACTCTCTTAACTAGTCTATCTAGTTCCCCTGGACAGTACAAGATTAGCTCCAAGCTTCTCCCTCGGGTCTCACAATTTTTCTTTAGAATCGTAGCTGTTTCTTGTTGAAAAAAGTCCAAGCATCCTTTCCTTTYAAGGTGTGTCCKGTTGTACRMAGGGTWAATTTTAGCAGGTGGAGRATGTCCAACCAGRTGGACAGGAGCAAAGATGAGACAATGTCCCCTTCAAATGTGCAGCTCATGAGATTCTCCATTGGAAACACACACAGTGTATTCTAGCAATAAATTCTAAGAGAAGCAGGTGCATGTGGATGACCTTCTCTTTCTCATCCCAAGGGAACTTCTTCCCTGAAGGAGCTGGGTAATGTATCACTATCTAAAACAAGAGAGCAAACAACAATAGCTAAATAACAAATGAAATTCAGAGGTGTCTATGAAGACAGATGAAATAAAAACATTTGCCCTTCAAAAGACAGAGACTTACAACAYAACAGACTTGTTATATATTCCACTATATTTTTACAACTTAATTTACTTTTATATTCTTTAACTGACAGGTGTCCTGGTTACTGACTGTTATTAATGACTACATATATAATATAAAGCCATGTGTAGTGGACACATTCAAGATGGCACTCCTGAGAAGAGAAGAAAATGAAATGGGGGTGGGGAGACCAAGGTGGTCAATTTAGTATGCTTCTTATTTTATTACTTCATTTTTAAAAAGACTTGAAAGGATTAAAACATAATTTTAACATTGGATTTTTGTGAAAAAAAGGGAGATGAGTGGCCATGTTTTCGGTGCTGTTAATTGAACTCTCTCTGCTATTCCAATTCAAAATATTTGGCAGATCTGGAAAGCAAACCATAAGGACTAGAAAGCTTCTTGGTGAGCCCCTCTGTGTCTACACCTCAGAGTCCAGAGCCCTGTTACCCCTGCTAGAGAGATAGAACAAAAGCTCTCTGTACATTGAAGCACCAAGGACCAGCAAAGGGAATAATTAGTATGAGCTGAACTCTCCATCCTTAAAACTCAAATTTTGAAGTCTTAGTTCCCATTTAGAGAAGATGTGACTGTATTTGGAGATAATGCATTGAAACAATCAGTTCACACAAAGTCACAGGGTGTCCCTAATCCAATATGACTGGTGTCCTCCYAAGAGATTAGGACACAGACACAGAGAAGTCCACGTGAAGACACAGGGGGAAGATAGTCAGCTACCAGGTGAGGAGAGAGGCCTCGGGAGGAGCCAACCGTGCTGACACCTGATCTTCATACTTCTAGTCTCTAGACTGTGAGAAGATAAATCTCTCTCGTTCATCCACCCAGTCTGGGGCATCTTCTTAGGGCAGCCCTCACAAACTGACAAAAACCCACCTACCACACAAGAATAAAAAATAAAAAAAGTGAAAATATTTTGACAGAACCATCACCAAGAAGGGACAGATTTTGCTTTGGAGGAAAATGTCCCTGAAGCTGTCCAGAGAGAGCAAGTGCCCAGCAGAATGGTGAAGGGAATGTGTCAGGAAGGTGGATTCAGGTAGCAGCCCCCCACCACAGGGACCTGCTTCTCCTCATCCTCTGCCCGTAGCACCTCATGGCTTCCCTAGGAAAAAAGTGGAGCAAAACACCTGCCTTAGTGTCCAAAGCCTTCAGGGACAGTGAGCTCCTAGGTGACTTCCCTGAGAAGGACCCAGCACCTCACCTGCAGGTGGAGACAGAAACGTGTCCTCAGGTTGGAAGATACACTCTGAGCCTGTGGGCTCCAGATCAGGGAGGACCAATGCTGGGAGAAGGCACAGCTGCTGCCTCCTGATTCCCAGGGCTTCTGAGTGAGGTTCTCACCAGCTGACACCTGCAGTCTCTGTGTCCCTCGGGACTCAATATCCACAGCTCCTCATTATACCAGAAATGTTACTGTTATTCTGATCCCAGGAGTGAATGTCCTTAAAGACCAAGTCTGTTGAAGACAGGAAATCAGGGTGGCTGATTTTCTGACCCACGAGGCCAGGCATACGTCATCCAGTTTTCTCCAATGATTCTGCTCACCTCCATTTCACATACCTTGAATACCAAACACATTGAATYTCCCAATGAATATCCACCTCCCATTTTACATATCCCCATCGATTTCATCTCATTAGAAAGCCTAATTGAATTTTAGGTGTGAAAAATGGAACTTGCATATACATAGGCACATACAAGAGAATTGTAAATAGATCTAAGATGTTGCAAAATTGCACACAAAGATATTTCTTCTTAAGTGTATTAATGCTTCTTAAACCTTAATTTTTGTTCTACTTATTTTGTACAGAAGATTCTCATCTGTTTTTGTTTGATACTTCTGGCTGCATTAAAAAGGACTATTGTTTCCTAATTATCATTTATGAATACTTTTCCAATTCAATCCCAATATTTTCAACAGATASTTTTCTTCACCTTAGGGGACTGTTAGCTGAAAGTATGTTTCTATGCATTTAATTCAGGTGTGAATTCATTCATAATATCACTACAAAGCCAAGTTGCATGCAAATTGTTTTATTAGATCACCATAAGATGGATGCCCAATTCAGACAAGATTAATACACCGAGGTAATAAACCAAAGTACCCTGCCTCCTAAAAATTATTAAAATGACTTCAGAAAATAAAATCCAGCAAGGAATGCAAAGGTATAATGGATTCTTTCAAGTTTGGTTTTGCTCCAGGAATGCAAGGTTGGTTCATTCTCTACAGAATCACATCAGTCATCCCTGAACCCTTTTCAGTTCTGCTCAAACGCCAGCGTATCAATGAAGCTTCCCCTATGCTATCACTCTACAAAAAGTACAATACTTTAATATGTTCTTACCCTACTTCCTGATGCATTAGTCAGCATCTAACAKACTATAATTTTCTTGGGCTATTGGGGAAATATATTAGGGTGTSTACATGAGTTCTATTCCTATGGAAGTAACAGAATGATTAGGAAAGGGATAAACCAATGAATTTACATTTGCTGGTAAATGGATAGAACTGGAGACTATAATGCTAAGTAAGCCAGACTCACAAAGTCAAGGGTCAAATGTTTTCTCCAACATGAAGAAGCTAGTCTAAACTTTGATGGGTGGGGATAGAGAGAGCAAGCGAGGGAAGAAATGCAGGGAAGAATGACATCAAAATGAAAGAATGATCAAGGGAATAGAAGWGAATTGAGGGGAGGAAGAAGGGATAGGATAACAGGAAAACAGTAGGATGATTCTGACCTAACTTTCCAATCTACATGTATGAATATATGATAGTGAATTTCACCATTATGTATATCCACAAGGTACTATTTTTTTCCAAAAATAAATAAATAGATCAAAGTAGAGGAAAGTAAACAGGGGGGAGGAGGAGTGGAAGGGTAAGGGAAAGTACAGGGGACTTAATTGCAGAAAACTCTACTATGTGCATTTATAATTATGTCAAAATAAATCCTAATGTTATGTATAGCTATTATGAACCAATGGAAATTTTATAAAATCTATACAATAAAAATTCTATAATAATAACAACGAAAGGGAGAAACTGAACTGTGACATTCTCTCAGTGTCAGTGCCCACGGGAATTATGGAGATGAGAGGTACCTTCTGAATTTTCCCATCTTGTGGCAAATGGGCCAAGCCTTTAATGCTTCATTGATTAGTCATTGGTTGCAGACCTTGGGTGCAATCTCTCCCTTCTGCTGAGGCAGTCCAAGAACTGAGYTGCCAATGAACAGCTGTCTGCCAGGTGCACTCCCAGGGTGGGGCAGTAATTCCCTCCCCCTGAGAGCAGATCCTGGTGTACATCAGTGTCCATGCCACCCGCCAGCTCTTGCTTCACAGATGAATGAACTCTCCCTGAGAACAAGGATTTGTACCAAGTTTTGTTATATCCTCAGTGTCCAAGGACCTGGCTGTATTGTGTTATTTTGTGGATAAATGAATGAATAATAAAAACAACTTCTAGGAAAGTAATTATTGTCATTACTTCTGGAATTCAATCAGCACATCACAGTGTCCTCTCCACACATATCTCTCTGGGATTGATTTTTCTGTATTCATGGGCGAGTGTATTTATCAATCAGCTGGAGTTGCTCTCACAAAATATCGTGGACTAGGTGACTTAAACCACAAACATTTATTATCACAGTTGTGGAAAACTCACTAGAAATACTCGAAGGAGGAAGTTTGCACAATTGTATTCAATAAACCCACCCGCAAATAAAAACATTTATATTTCTACCAGGAAACATGAAAGAGAATATTGAATCACCTCTATTCACAACAGCAGAAAAGTGACTGTCTAAATTTCATCATTATCAGAAAGA